TTTCTTGGAGAGCGTGAATAGATACAGCATCACCCAACTGCAGCTTTTCAAGCAAAACATCTAAATTTCTCAAATCCCCACCTTTTTCATCAAATACAAGTTCGTATGCGTCAAGACTTTCACCATGAAGAGAATCCTCAAAGAGTGACAAAACATATAGGACATCAACATCTGGTGCTTTGGTTTGATTCCTTGTTTTTGGGAAATGGGCATTAGGTTTTTGTACCTTACCATGATTGGTTAGTCTGTAATCCTGCACTTTCAAGTGAAGTAATGATTTGTTTCCGATAACCAAAGAATTTATATCTAACCCTGTACTCGAAACAATGGAATCAAGTTGAGCTTGACACCATGCACGCACAAGAGTAGTTACAGCCCTTTTAGTTCCGGCCTTGGTAACAATTTCTTCAGTCCCATTGCCACAAGATTCAGCAAACAAAGATGCAAAAATCTTCTCATGTGTTGACCAACCTCCAGCACCCATTTCAGCATTTGTGTTGGTCCCGCGAAGCACATCTTTTGTTTTATGATTATTGTGGGCATTTAGAAATTCCGCACCATTATTTGCAAAAGCTTCCTTCTTTGGAAATGACTTCAATTGGCAAGGTGAAACTGAAACTGAAGGAATGTCTTTCTTCTCGTTAATGTTGCATCTCTTCACATCTACCCCTGAAAGCCAAAAGAAAGTATTTCATAAAAAGTCTGGCTCGAAAAATTTAAGGAGGGGGGGAGGAGGAAAGGGCGATATTCTATATATGGAAAAAAAACAAGGAACTAGGACGATAGAACGATTTACAGGGTAAATAGATAAAATGATACCAAGAAATATTCTTTTCTCATACTGGAAGATAACAGCTGAACAGACCGAGCTCAAGTAATTGTGAGTGTCTAGGTAAATGCTCCAGAAAAACAATGAATGGCTATCTCAACATTAAACAAAGAAAAATGAATCCTAAATGAAAAAAAGTGAGTTTTTCACTGGAAGATGTGATTCAAATCTATATTTAACAGTAGTAAAATAAATTGAAATCTATGTTAAAGTATTCATCTATGATGAATCAAATTGCTAAAACAATAGCAAATCTTGAACATGAACGGATAGATGAACTTGCCTCTAAGGAATATCCAGCAGTTGACAGATAATAGTTGTTTATTAAGGTACATCAAAATGTTGTTGCTAGTCATGTATAAGCATAATTAGATATTGCAGTCTATCAATTTCTTACCGAATTGTCCATTTTTTTATCGATGAGAGTGACATACAAGAATAATGTGCAAGAATATATCTAAGTGGCCGAAGACTAAATTCCATTGCAGGAAATTGTGTGATTTTATACAATAAAATGCCGCAACAAAAATATTGCAAAAGCAGTGTTTGAATATAGAAACAATGAAGTTATCAGAATAAACATACATGAATGTAATCCAGCTCCCAGATAAAGTCGAAGAGACTGGGCAAGCATTACATGTCCTCTTGCCACTGACTCTGAGAATAATAGACGAACAATAACTTGATGGTTATCGTGCTTATCAGCAAGAATTCCACTGTTGAGTTCCTTTTCAGTAGAACTGCTTTTAATATGTAGACCTTCTCTTTCATGATTTTTCTTGTTCTCTTTGGTTAGAAATCTAGGAGATATCACTACTAACTGAGAAGAGCTGAAAGAATATTTTTTCGCTGTTTCTGGATGAATAAAGACAGCAGAAGTGAAGACAACATCCATCGTGATATCATCCACCTTATAGTTGTGAAGAAATCTAGAGTCTGAATCTTGGACTCTCAGTAGTGCTTTCGTGATAGAATGATCTCTCTTTATAGCTTGTATGGACGAATCTTCAAGAGGATCTAATATCCTTTTGCGTCTCTTTTGGGCAACTGCTACTTCAGTTCCAGGAACAAGTTGGACTGATAACAATCTCACACATCAAAGATAGTAATTCAAAAATATTTGATCATCTCAAGAATATACGCAATGTAAAATGGGTTCAAGCAATCCAACTACAACTGTCTGTAGAAGCTAATACCAGTGCTTTGATATACGGAAAGGTATGCCAACATTATACTTGGACCAAAAAAGCAGCAGCTAAAGTATAAAGCAAATTCTGCTGCAAACCATTTGTTTTACTTCTTATCAAGTGGATGAGAACTACTACCATTATTAATTCTAATGCATGTCAGTTTCTCTAACTCTCAAGTCTCTACATGAAACCAACTGCTCCACCAACAAGTTCACCATTGTGGATTCAACGATTTAGGCTTATGCATATCATAAATTCGAAATTAAATATATGTAAGAGTATGCATATAAATCGTACTGACTACATGGATCTCACTCTCACCTATCAAAAATCAAAATCGTTAACCAAACTTGCTACACAAACCCATCACACTCACATATAACCAACACTAAATTCTCTCATATCCAGGAACAATACATAGCCCCTGTTTGGTTTGGATGAAGTTAGATTTTTAATGGATTTTGATAAAAGTTGGTGAAATGTGTAATTGAAAAATTGATAAAAGTTGTGATTCCCATAAAATGTGTGGTTGAAAATGAATTTGGGGGAAAATGGGTTTTAAGAAATGGAGGCCAAACGGGTGCATAATAAGTACCATTATTCAAAATTGAATATAACCAATGAAGTCAAGTGATCTCAAGGAGTTGAGAAGTAGTAGAATACACTATACCTACTGGTTTCTTGGGTAAGGTTGAGACAACAAGAAAATTAACAATTGTTTGCCCATGCAACCACAGAGGAAATTTCATTTCTTCATGGACAATCCCGACCTGCAGGCAGTGCATAGAGGATTTTTAAAGCCTTCAGTCACTCTAAAATTTATCAAATATCAAATGTGACGCAATACGATTGAACACAATCATTCAAACTTCAATTTTTTATGCAATGACAAATTTATTGGCTATGCTTATAACTAATCCAACTTACTGTAATTAGAAAAAAAGGACCATTTATTTTAGAACTTAATCTTTTACGAGCAAGTAAACTTATAAGTAAATTTTTTAAGCTTAAAGCTTGGCCAAACATGCACAATTGAGCGAAAACCTGCTTCAGAATAACTTCTTCAGCAAGCTCGGAATTGAGCTCGACAATCTCCCAATCATCCTCCGTGAGAGGCTCAACCGTCACAAGCGTAGCTTTCAGTAAATTGCTAACAATTCGTACTTTAACCACCGTACGGTCACTTAATCCAATACACTCCGCATACTGCTTAGCAATCTATAACCAAAAAATATATATATCACCGCGGCCGTAGATAAGAAAACTCATCAAATAAATAACTGAATTATGAACCAAACTCACCTCAATTGAGGAAGGAGATGAAGAGGAAAGGGAACCGGACCACGCCACATGCCAGAGGTTAGCACCGGAGCGAAGTTCAACTGCAAGAATTGGAGGAAGATAACCGGACTGTAGGGTTTGGATGAGTGAGAGTGGTAGAGATACATAGCAACTCTCTATTCCCCCTACTACTCTCACCTCAAACTCCATAGATTTCTCTCTAGGATTTTTGTGATTTTTCAGTAAATTTAATTATTTATACTTGCAGTTGCAGTGAAGTTTACGTACTGTTCCTTCGTGTGCGTTTTCCACTGAAGTCGTTTTGAACAATCGACTTCTAGAACAGAACTGGTAATGCGATTTAGGGTAATGGGACTAGAGAGGAGAGTGGCTCCAGTTTATCCGCTTTATTGGAAAGCGTGAA